GATGACTCCAGGAGCCCCGGAGGTTTCCAGCCAGCTCCGAGCTCCTGCTCACAATCCCAAATTTAATTAAAAACCWTCTCCAAAGGTTTTCCCAAACCACTGAGCGCAGAAATCCCGATTTCCCGCGGGCTGGAGGAATTTCCAGYGGGAATTTTCCTCCTGGAAAAAGCRGCCAGGCCTTGGAGGTTTGGGGTCCCCATCCCTGGAGGTGACACTCGAGGTTTGGATGATCCYGGTGGGATTTTTCCAGCCTCAATCCATCCCCAAAAGAATCCCTCTGTGCCCAAAGATTCCGATGGAATTTCACAGCATTTTCCACTTAAAAACTGGAAACAAACCCTGATTTCCAACCCCCTCAAAGCCCAGCAGCAGCTCCGAGTTTGGATTAATTTTAAAAACCAAACAGGACCTTGGATTTGGCTCCAGGGGGGTTTTGGGTTGGTTTAAATTTAATTTTCGGTTGGATAAGATTTAATTTTTGGTTGGATAATATATAATTTTTGGTTGGATAATATATAATTTTTGGTTGGTTTAAATCTAAATTTTAGTGGGTTTAAACCTAATTTTGGTTGGTTTAAATTAAATTCGTAGGTTTAGATTTATTTTTTGGTTGGATTTGGGCTTTTTTTTCACTGCTGTTTGATCCCAAAGCTTCGTCTTCTTTTCCTTTTCCTTTCCTGATTTTTCTCTGCTCATTCCTGTTTTGTGGTTGCTCTCAGGTTCCCAAGGTCGTGAGTGGGGAGTGGAATTCCCAGAGCAGCCMGAACCTGGAAAAATGGGATGGATTGGGATAAAACAGGGAGCAGGGATGGGATAATCCTCACCCTCACAATCCTACGCATCTGACACAAAAAAACCCCATTAAAATAAATATCCCTTCATCTTAATACGCATTTAATTCAGATTAAAACAACAAAAAACTCCCCCAAATCCCCCTTTTCCTGGCCACCAACATTTCATGGATGGATGGATGGATGGAGCCTCACCTTCCATGATCAACACCTGAGGAAAATGGGAAAAAATGGGATAAAAACAGGGAAAAAGGGGGATTTAAACATGGAGGAATGAGAAGCAGCAGCTCGGCCACAAACCCCAGGTGTTCCCAGGTGTTTTTCTGGGAATGACACATTCCCACT